TCTTCTTTGTGATTAGAACATCATTTGAAGGTGACTAAAACATTTATTTAATGTTCTACTAATTTTATTTTTACCCAAAATATAACATTATATGAACTTTTAGTTCTATAGTTATAAATAGTTATAAAGTTATAAATCTAGTTATAAATCTCTATGAACATTAAAATTTTTTTAAATTTTCGTTATTTAAAGGTGACGGAAATATTTCTTAAACATTCTACTAAATTAAATTTTTACACAAAATATAACGTTATTTGAACGTTTATTTGTAATATTCAAAGTTTTTTTTTGCGATTAGAACGTGAAAGGTGACTAAAACATTTTTAATGTTCTACTAATTAAATTTTTACCCAAAATATAACGTTATTTATTTGAATGTTTATTTGTAATATTCTAAGAACGTTAAAATGTGCAGTTTTCTACACATTATTTAAAGGTGATGAAAACATTTCTTAAATGTTCTACTAAGTTTTATTTTTACCAAAACTATTATATGTTATCATGTTATTTTAATGCTAAAAAATGTTTCTTAGAACCTTCAAGTACAAATAACATCATGTTGTTGTTTTGTCTTAATGTTTTAAGAATATATATGAAGAGTTCAGTTAGAAATTTTCTTCTAAAATAAGAAGTTATATCAGGCTCCTAAGTGTAGATTGAGTATTTTAACTTTAATGTCAATAAATAGGTTATTTTCACTGTCATTAAAGTGAAATAACTGAATATAAATAGGGATGCACGATATTGGATTTTTGCCGATATCCGATATGCCGATATTTTTCAACTCATTTTGGCCGATAACCGATACCGATATATTTCCTTTTGTTTGGAAACAACACCAAGTCTCTCCTGTGCAGAAATGATAAATACAATTATAATTTTGGTTAGTTTTTAACAACAATTATTTGTTAGAATTAAATAAACAATAATAGTTATTTTATAATGAAAGTACAATGAAGATTTGAAAATAAATAAACTATATTCAATCTCTGTATTTTAATTTTTTTTTCAGAAAGATGCAGTTGTAACCTTAACATTTTATTTTAAGATTTAACATTTGTAGATGGTCTAAAGCAAGAGTTGTAAAAATTGTGAAAATCTTTTAGAGCTCATAATTTGTTTAAAAAATATAACATATTACACATTAATGAATAAATCAGTATATATAAAATTATTTAAAGTGTCGTTTTTTTTCATGTAAGCTATAGCTTCTGACCTTTAAATCAAAACATACTCATGATTTTATGACATCAATTACTGCTTTATTTAATCAGAAACACAGTCTAAATGTTATTTGTGTATTTTGCTTTCATTTTATTAGAAGTAGGCCAACAGCGCCCCCTAGGTTTACTCTATCACACACCTAACAAGTCATTCTGTACGTGCTTTCACAGATTAAATGCAGCGAAACAGTGAATCTAATCATCAAGGCAAATCTTTGCTTCAAGAATGAGCCACACTGTCGCTAGCACACCCTGAGCAAACGTGAGTTAACGTATTCCTCTTATCGGCAAGACGTATCGGCATACTTTTTCATATCGGGACGATGCCGATATTTACATTTAAAGCCATCATCGTCCGATTCCGATATTGGTCCGATAATATCGTGCATCCCTAATTCTATTACTTTCCTTATCTATGTAGGCGCAAGTATATCGGTTGTGTTTTGTCCTCACCTGTTTTGCGATGTTGTTATTATTGTTTTGTGTAAAATAGCATAAAATATTCCAGCAGATTAGTTATATTGTTGTATTGTTTTCATAATAACGTTCATTAATACTATTTACAAATGTTATTATTATATATCTACAGGTCATTTGTCGAAATGCATTCAGATAGTTACAAAATGTCAGTGAAATTTGATTCATATACTTGTTTGTAAATGACTAACTGCTGTTGCTTGGTGCCACCTGTAACTGAAAAAATCTAAACTTTTTATATTAACCACAAATATTAACATTCCAAATGATAAACTTAATATTAAGTCTTGAATCAGTTTTCCAGTGCCGTTTTATTACATTGTGACATTAACGTCACATCAAACAACATAAATGTAGAGATGTAGGATAAATATATTTGTAAATTAACATTACTAAAAAAACAACGCTTTAGATTACAACCCGCAATGTACTGCGTAAG